TAATGAATATTTATATAGTATATCTCACAAACTAAAATATTAGTATTTGTTTCACAAAATATTAACAGTTTATACATTCAAAAATATTTATTTATTATAAAATTTAGTAATATAAAATAAATATTTATCATGTACATTATATATATTAAAATACTAGGTTGTATTAAGTACATTGCATTAGGAGTATTCATGACTTATCATATCTAATTAATCCGACTTAAGGATTTTAACAAGTTTGAATTTAAGAAATTAATTCGATATATTTTATTTGACGAATACAAATTATATTTTAAGTTCTCTCAACTCAAATTAATGTCATATATAATCTTTTACAAAATATGATTTTTTAAATAATTATGTATTAATAATCTAATTTCTTAACTTAATAAATAATATTTTTTCTAACATAATATTATATTTATAACTATATCATCTATAAATATATTTAAATCTAGTGCATTTTAAACCATATATATCACATCAAGTTACAATGCAAAATCTACTTTATATATATATATATATAATAAATATTTTTTCATTCAGTTATATAGATATAATTTATATCATACTATTATAATATATAGATATATAAAATGAGTTCTATTTTTTCACCTATATTTCAACATACACTCAAACAACACCCAATATTTCTTTTTCATTTTTAATTTTTGTCTTACCTCAAATTTTCCATGTAACACTTGGATAAAGAGAAAATAATTTTTTAAGAGCATTGTTGGATTGTTTTTGTCTAAGTGTCGATTAAAAAACATATTTTATTATTTAAAAGTGGTGCATTTTTTTACAGTAGCATATATTACATCAAGCTACAGTGTAAAATGCACCTTTTGTATATATAACAATTTTTTATTCAGTTATATAAATATAATAAAAAATATAAGTAAAAAATTGTCACAGATATTATAGTATTTCAAATATTATATATATTTATCTATTAATAATAATCATAAAATAATATTAATACATATTTAAAATATCATAATCATGTCTTGCCACATATATATGTTGTTAGGTGTTAATCCAACCGAAATCAATTTCATAAAATTAACTTGATGAAAATTTGGGAGCAAGTATAAACACAAAATAAACTCTTTTCAAAATAATACCTGCATTGCATGTTCCTACATGCCACATGGTTAGACATTATGACATCAATGTCATTGTCCTTACAGCATACAAGTGCCACGTGTCCATCCAGTTTTTAAAAAAAGTTTGAAGACATTCCCGCTTATGCAACTGTTAACAAAGTCAACAATTGACCACAAACCGTTGCAGTTTGAAAATTCACAAAGCCATAGCAGTTACCACGTTCATCATATTTCTCACTGTGACTAGCTTCTTTTCTGGATTCAATTGGTAACACTTCCACCATTTTTGGCTAAAGCACTTCTACCCGACCTATCGGTAACAATCTCTTCACCACCCCACATTTAACATGGCCATTCAAAAATGCATCCTTTTTCTCATTTTTCACTATAGTTGCTTGGTTATGTATAAAACCGTGTTTTAAGATATTCATAAAATGTGCATGCCTTCGATGTGCAAGTTTTTTCTTAATGCCTTGAGAATGCTTTGAGAAAATGAAGATTCTGAACGGCCCTTTTATAAAGAACTAATGAACTATAATATAACTGAATGAATTAGTTGATTTTGCCCCTCATTTATCTGATGTAGTAGAAATCCTTCTATTGAACAAATTGGTTCTGCCTTTGAATAACTAACAGACTAACCTTGCTGCTTTTTACTATATAATAGTTCAAGCTAGGAAATATGCAACTCGATGTGGTTAGCCATTATTGTGTATTGGTTGATACCTTTGCTGTACTTCTATTGGCTGATAAGATGCAAATACTATTAATTTCCAATTTCAAGACCATATTGATTTTCGTCCGAGTTATTCATTATGTTCTGGTTTGTGGTATGATTTCTTTGCAGATTCATCCTATTATTCACATTCATTGTTCATTTAGAGAGAAGAATATTTGTTTCTTTGGCTGATATTTTTAATAATTTTGTATTTGTATGACTTCAAGTAATCTCATCATTTCGGATTTAGAAAAGGCTGGTTCCTTTTGTTAAGAAACATTTTAAGTCCTTGTGTTAGAGAAATAGATACTGATCCCCCGTTTAGCAAACCTAAAATTGAACGTTGTTACTCACCAAATTGTCATTGATAACTGTCATTTCATGATGCTTCAAAAGTGTAAGAATCTGAATAGTTTTAACATGTTAATTTTCTATTATTTTTCAAGATTTAAGATTCCATTCTCAATGACCATTTGAATCAGCTTTAAAATATTTCTTCCTTTAACAATTAGACAGTAGTCTTCAGCATTGTTCAGCTTTATGGACTTCTTTTGTGCAGATAATCAAGTCATTATTGGACCTTCAAATCAAAGCTTTTATAATCATACTGACTGGTAAAATGACTCAAGAGTATACTATTGGAGGTAGCTTGCAAGAGGGTCTACAAGATGCAGCTTCAGTTGGACCTTCAAATGGTTTCAAGATTAATGCAAATAGTGCTCTTCAAATTTCATCATCGCAAAGGGGACTTCTAAGCGATAAAAGTCATCATAGAGGAAAACACAGAATGTTGACATCTATTGCTAATATCTATAAATTCTCACATTTTGTGCCTTCATCTGTCAAGGAAAATTTCAGAAAACCTTTTAATTGTGTTTTTTCCCAGATTGATTGGCAATCTCTCAGGAGAAGCTGCAAGCAATGGATTAAGAATCCTTTGAACATGGCCCTTCTTTTATGGATAATTTGTGTAGCTGTTTCAGGAGCTATTCTTTTTCTTGTCATGACAGGAATGTTGAACAAAGTCCTCACAAAGCAGTCACAGAGGAACTCATGGTGTGAGGTCAACAACCAATTTCTCAATGCTCTATTTACTCTCATGTGTCTATACCAACATCCAAAGCGGTTCCACCATCTTGTACTTCTCTGTAGGTGGAAGCCAAAGGACATTATAATCCTAAGAAAAATATATTGTAAGAATGGCACTTGCAAGCCTCATGAATGGATCCATATGATGGTGGTAGTTGTGTTACTCCATGTTATTTGCTTTGCTCAGTATGCCCTTTGTGGCCTTAACTGGGGTTTCAATAGATTTGAAAGACCTGTTGTTGGGGTTGGTATATGCATCTCCATTGCAATTGCTGCTTCAGCAATTGCAGGAGTATACTGCATTGCCAGCCCTCTAGGCAAGGAGTATGAAATTGATGAAGAAGCACAGAATCATATTCCCACTAATAACACATTTGCGACAAGAAATGATCATAGTCTTGTTGAGTACACACCTCAATGGAGAGGGGGACTATTTGATTTTTTGGACAATCTTTCTGTGGCATGTCTTGCTCTCTTTTGTAGCTTTTGTGTCTTTGGAAGGAATATGGAAAGACTTCATTTTGGTAACATGTATGTCCACATTGCAACTTTCCTCCTCTTCTGTGTGGCTCCCTTTTGGATCTACAATGTGGCTACCTTGAATATTGATGATGAGTCTGTGAGAAGAGCTTTTGGGTTGATGGGTATATTGCTTTGTGTGTTTGGTTTACTCTATGGTGGCTATTGGAGGATTCAAATGAGGGAGAGATTTAACTTGCCACCAAATAAAATTTGTTGTGGGAACCCAGCAATGACAGATTGCATACAGTGGCTATTTTGTTGCTGGTGTTCCCTTGCACAGGAAGTAAGAACTGCAGAATTCTATGACATAGTTGATGAGAAATTTTTCAGCAAAAGACAGACTGAAAGTTGTGTTCAGCCTGCACTGAACTCATTGCCTGCTGAAGATAAAGCTCCTCATGTTACATCAATGTCCACTTCATTTTGGAGCAGTCATGGTTTGTCTAAGATCTGGTCTGAAGAGTCAAAAGATTATTCGAGAGAAAAAAAGCAAAATGTTATGGAAGCGCCTATTCCTCTATCAATTCAAATAGATGACAATGACAGCAAAAGAACATAGAGAGGGGAAACCTCAAAATGCTTTTAGATGTCAAATCCAGGTTAATATTGTTACTGTAATGTTAATTCTGATAAGTCATGTATGCATTCCAAAATAGACTTTTACATTGTAATATTTAAACATCAATTTTCGAATCAGATGGTAACATGTTGTCATGTGTTTGAAAATTTTAAAAAGACATTGTTAAAACAAGATTGAAATTTCCATCTTAAACATGGTGAAAATGGATACAATACCACGTGTACGTGATGCTAATTACTTGAACAGCAACAACCGATAACTTCTTAAGTGTGGGGTAAACATTTGGTGCAACTTGTTGAATGAATCCGACTGTTCCACTTTCACATTTCATAAATATTTTCTCAATTTCATAAAATAATAACTATCTTAATATCCATTTTTGTGAGTTAAAAGGAATTAAATTGCATCGAAGATGAATAAACCATTTATAATCATATTAAAAAATCTTAAAGAAGTTGGTAGATGGTTTTAACCTGGAATTATACCTTATTCTAATCTAAACTTTTTTAAGATTTTTTTCTTTTGAAATTTATTAATATTTTACATAATTCACTAAAAGTAACCCTTTATTTATCAAATGTATTAAGAGTGTAGTAAGATTCAATTTTCACCATTCTCTATACATAATTAGACTTGAACCTAAGATCTTTTTATGACCAATTTTATTAAAATAAAGATTTTTCTAATTACTTAAATAGTAATTGGTGGCTCCTCCATTGATTTATCCCAATTTTTCCACAAGCCTCTCGTCGTAAGCCCTCTGGACACGTTGTGTCAGTCATGTTTCAGAACATGAATTGTAATTGACATACAAAAACCACATGGAAAATATCACTGCTCTACATTTCTTTGTCTCTCATCAATATCAATCAGTTCTCCAAGAAAAGTGGAAAAGAACTAAAGGCGATTAGAGCAGTGTTCATATTTATTTTTAGTGTCATGGGAATTAAATTAGCCAATTCTTTAATATTTCAGTTCAAAAGAACTCAATCTGTTTTGGTTAAATTAACCAATGAAAAAAATTCATTATAAAAAGAAAACTACCAGTCCAAAACTATATATTGATAAAACTAAATCCTTTGACATACATCTCTCGGTTGAGATATTGAAGTATTAACTACAAGTCTAAAGCAAAATGATTCCATTGAAGAGTTCAGAGGTAAATCTACAAACAAGGCTTAATAGAAACCACCAGCCCCTAATGCTTATTGTGACCTTTAAAAACATGAAGATCAAGTGTTGCATCTTCTCTATTGACGAGCTCAAAGATAGAAACACACACTGCAGGACGAAACAAACTCTGTTCTCTTGTTAGCCTTTCCTGAACTAACTCCTAACGGGTTGATTATCATAGCTTGGCTAGCAAATTATCATTATGCAAAAACGAAAAAGTTTAAGTAAGCAGTATATTAAGTTAATTGGGACGAACGTGCATTTTCCTACAAAAGTATATATTTCGGAATTATTTGCAGAGTTCTATTTGCTTTCTAGAATTACCATTTTCATGATCATATAATTGCCAAATTCATCATAGAAAGTTCTCCTACTTCGAACTTTAATCCCCCAAAAAAGACCAATATTCTAATATCAATTTGCTATCAGCATTAACTATTAAAACTTTTGCCTTTTTTGTTCATTTCCACATCGAGGGGTCTTTCAAGTTCCAAAGCAATTCCAGTAGGAGTAAAATATCTATATCCATGTATGGCTTCTCTTTTTGTTCATTCCCATTTTAGGGGTCTAAGTTTCAAGTTCCCAAGTAATTCCAGTAATAGGACAAAGATATCTATATATGCATGTGTCTGGCTCATACATTTTTGGTTTTAACTTCACTATCATTTTATTGAACAATTAATCAGTTACCCAAGCAAAATATGTACGAAAACTCAATGCGGTTGAGTTGACCACAATTTCACAACCCTACAAAGATTACATCCCAAGTTACCATGTTGTCCACAAGTTCACATCCTTCAATTTTAACCATCACCTAGAGCTATCCCAGCAACATACTCTTTCCGATACATTCTCCATTAGATCAAATTCATGAAGGTTTCATTAAATAATAACTCAACTAATTGAATAAAACTAATGAAACTCAAAATTCATCTTAGGTAGAAATTATTATATGATGCATGACCATCACATGTCCATAGTTCTAATTAATCTCAATATGACAGTTTCATATAGAGATTAAGAAGACCATGAACACGGTATGATCTTAGACTATAATAATATCTTTATCTTATGAGTATGTTGCTAGCATTTCTGGTTAAATGGCTAACACCAGTCCTGGCAGGGATCGGCGGTAGAGATCGCGGGGCTGGCTTTGCCACAATGTCATGTTGTCAAGCCTGTTTTCCCATGTCTGTGATCTCAAATCCCGGACCACAAGCCATGTGTTGAAGTACTCTCTGAACTGAGTGATGAGGCCATTCTTGACGGTCCAAACATGGACCCAGTAGGCCTTACCTTCCCAGCCTTCGGCGATCACGCAATCGCCGAAGGCTGTGACAGTCCTGGGCTCAAACTGGAAGCCCTTGTTGTTGAGGGCAGTTTCTCCCGTGAGGACCCTCATCATGTGTTGGCACTGAGGGGGGCCATGGAACCACCACTCAAGGTCACTTGCTAGCATGTTTGCCACCGTGTCCATTTGGCCCTTCCCCAGCAAGGCCTTGTAGAGTGACTCCACCGTTGCCTTGTTCAGCATTTCCTCCTTCTTAGGCACACATGCTTCCATTTCTGAAATTTCAAAGGAGGTGGATATGTGCTCCATTTTTGTGATGAGGATTAATTAGATAGAAACTTGCTGTCTTTTGTGCATGGGAATGTGGAGTTGGATGGTCACATATTTATAGGCCTACATAGGGATATAAATGTCAAAGTAATAGGGGCTTATTATGGTTCACAATTCAACAGTTGTTTTAGATAAAATTAATTTTGAAGGATTGATTCTGATTCAAATGAAAAATTTTAAATCCTCCCACCTGATTCTCTTACTATAATAATTAACCATTCTATTTCCTGTTACGATAAGTATTGAATACTATGTTTTATATTTTCAAGATTCAAATGCAATGCATGTACTTCTTATTCAAGGAGTACTTTATTTATAAGGTAGTAGGATGATATATATATCATGATCACAATTTTATATTTTATTTTAAAATTATGTTTGTCATTTTTGCTTTGAAAAATACTCTAAACTAAAGTTCAAAAATTTTAAAAACAATATAAAATTTTATTTCTTTTTCTTTAAAATTGATGAATTAAAAGTACGGAGTGAGAGACAAAAGAGAAGAAGAAAAAAAGACCAACATATTTTAGGGAGAAGAAAAATTTCTTTACCTAGTTTTCTTCTATAAAAAAAAAGTTACTTACTAAATTGTGTGTTATGACCAAAGAAATTAATTTTATGTGTTTGGAAAATATTTCTTCAATCTCCTTATATTTTGATTTAATGTTGTAAGTGTTTTAACTCGTGTCAATAATTCAAGAAGACATTAGTAAACAGCAAAATCAGGGTAGAAATTGTCAAAAATGTTTTTATTTTATAAATAATTTGTAGATAATTATATTATTAATATAAAATGTTTATTATTTTTATCTATAATTACAATTATACATTTACCAGTATTTATATAATCATATCCAGATAGTATTACTGAAAGGAAAAAAAATTAATTAATATTATAAAGTGATTAATACTTTAATAGCGAAAATATTTCAAAAATAGTAATTAAAATGCGACGGTGGAGATTGATTACTTTATGAATCGAATGGTAGATTGGATGATGAGAATATGGTCCTAGAACATGCATTTAATGCTGCACGTGTGAAGTGTCAAAGTCTGTCATAAGAAAAATTACATTTAACACAACAATCATAAGCAACTCAGCTGAAGAAAACGATGTGGACAAGACAATTATAGGGTGTATTTCTAGAATGACTAATTTACCCTAGCTGTCCTTTTGGAAAAACTTTTCAATATTTTAGGTATAATCTAAAAGTGCTATGTTAAATTGATCCTTTTCGATTATGTTATTTGCAGCATCTTCTATTTTTGCTTACAAAAGTATCCCTAGCTTAAAAAAACGACAAATAAATTTGGTATTGTAGGCATAATGTTAATAAATTGCAGAATTAAGGCATGAATTACCTCACTAGTACTCCACGAATAAAGGATAGTATATTCGTCTATTCTAGTATCCAACAGGAAAAAAGCGTGTTAATGGTGATTAGTAGAAGTTTAATTAATTTCCTTTGTCTATCATTTGTGTTTTTGTCCTTTCTTAATCAAAATTCATGTCTTTTCTTGATACCATTTTGTACCCATCTAATTTTTAAATCGTTGGGAGTTATATACATCAACCTTTTTTGCCTTTTGGGGCTGAAAAACCAAGATGGTGATTCTAACTTTTGAGGTTTGAATTGTGCTTAGATAAATAAAATATGACGTACAAAAGAAAACTATAGCAATTTGGCTTTGTTTTCTGTATACAAAAACTTATAATAATGAGGATATCACTGCCTAAGTCCAAGGGTAAGAAACAATATTCAAGATCATGGCCCCAAACTATATGCGTTTGTTATACATGAATTTGAACCCAAATTCTATTAGCTTAACAGAACATGGTATTAATACAAATTCACATAACCCTTTTACAAATATATGCATCCATGGTGTGCCCCAGAAGACAAGTTGAGCAAAAGGGTGGCTCTTTGACTTGAAAATCAACCTAGGTCATTGTCATTGCAATTATAATATTGGTGGTTTTTAATTACGTACTATAAATGCAATATCCAAATTCCAGATTTTTGGGCTGGTCCCAAATACACATTTTTAAAGTTTATAGTGTTCACGAGGGAGGATGTGCTGAGAATGAACAAGTAGGTGAACATTGATGCAGTGCATCCAATTTATGATGATATCGATTGCATATAAATATTTCTGTATCATAAGTGTTTATTAATTAAACAATTTTAATCAATGAGATAGCTCAAATTATTGTATAAGGAAAATATATTAATTTTTTTGCTATTATTATTAGAATGAGAGCTTATAATAGAGAAAATAAACTGAAATGGAAATAGGAAGGCCCAATTAAACTTGATCCCAACTTTTGGAAGGAAACTGACCAGAAAATTCATTTTGGCTAAAGATTGTAATGAAACATTAAGAGTATGTTTTGCAAATCAGTAAAAATAAATAAAGATTATTTATGAAAATTGTTAACGTACGTGTTTGGAATAATAGTAAAAATATAGATTTTTACATATTTTTGTGTAAAATACATTATTTTTTACTAACACTTTTATTATTATTATCGTTTTATTATTATCATTAGTATCACTATAAAAATTATTATTGGTGTCACTGTTATATAAGAAATAAAATTTTGTTAAAACAAGCAAATTATATATATATAATAAAATATGGTAATTTTCTTAAAAAGTTTTAAAGTAAAGACTAGATAAATTTTAAGTATGAATAATTAATGTATGTATACTTTTATATTATCATTTAATTATAAATAAGTACATGATATTTTATAATTAAGCGATGATAATATAAAATTATTTTATATTGATTAACAATGATAATTGACTTTCTTATAAATATATAGTAAAATTAATTGAGTTTTAAAATTCATATCTTATAATATTCAAACAATGATTGTTGATAGGTTAAAAGTGTAAAAGGTATTTTACACCTACGTATATATAAAAAATAAAGTTAAAATTTAAAATTAAAAAAGAAAAACATTTAATATAATAGTTAGTTGTTATGAATGTGATTGAATGTTTGGTGGCAAGAGTGCATAGGATAGGAAGAGAAAACTGAGTTGTGAATGGCCACGTGGCATAAGCCAGTCTGTTGACATTATTCACACTCTTTGACCGTTCAAGTCCATTTAGACGGAGACGTGCCACCGGCGCGCCCTCGCTTTCGCCGGGCCAATTCTCAACCCATCATATGATTGCCACTCATATAATATTCACTATTATTTTATATATTATCACCATATTAAATCATTTTTTCTTTTTTATACATTATCTTAAATTAATGAATTAAAATATTAAATAATTTTTAAAACTTTTATAAATTTGTAAATTTGATTTATATATTAAATTTTTTTAATTTAATAATTAAATTGTTAAAAATTGATATAGAATATAAGTTATTGAATGAAGTAAATTTGATAGACTTGTTTTTACGTAAACTTATTCTTGAAGTAATTGGATTCGTCTTCATATATTTTGAAAATCATATGATACTTCATTATATAAATTCGAATTAATATTTTTTTATTATTATCTGTCAATTTGATTTAATGAAATGATGTATCAAATAATATTTAAATTTTTTAAATAATTATATATTTGATCTGTGCAATAAAAAAAATTTTAATTTAATTGTTGGATCGCTGAAAATCAACATATACAATGAATTATTGAGTGGGGATAATTTTATCAAGAGTTATTCTTGGAATCATTTGATATTATATATATATATATATATATATATATAGGGAGCATATCAAGTGAGAAGGAATTTATTATGAGAAATGAAAGGGTTAAAATATAACCCTTAGATTAATCAAGTGAGAGAAAATTTGAGGTTTAATCAAGTGAGAGGAAATTAATCTAAGGGTTATATTTTAACCCTCTCATCTCTCACAATAAATTCTCTCTCACTTGATATGTTCCCTATATATATATATATGTGTGTGTGTGTGTGTGGGAAAGTGGATAAAAGTAGTTACTGAGAAACTATATTCCTGTAGAAAAAAAAATTAAAATATCTACCAAACATGGAAAAACAAAATTCTTAATTTAAGATTTTCAGGAAAGTAAAATTATTACACATGCCAAATGCTCCCTCAGAACAAGTGAATTCCTCGTGCGTGTATATATATATAATATATTAAATGCAAATGATTATCTTATATGAAAGTATTTTTAAGAATTATTCTTTGTCAGGAGAGTATTTAAGGATTGTTTTAACTTTTTAATCAATCTAATTTTTTTATTTATCATATTTATTTATGAATTAAAAATTTAATATTTTTAAAATAAATTATCAATAACTATAAAGAATCATGTGTCACAATATAAATTATTTATTATAAATCAAAAATATAATTTATATGTTTAAATTCTATTTATACAAATTTAATATATAATCTATATATTCAAGTATAATATTTATTTGTATATATGAATAATTTATTATAAATTTAGTTATATGAAATAGATATTTAGCTTGTGAAATGTACAGATTAAAATAAATGTATGTATATATCTGTACCTATTATAAAGGGAATAAGTTTTGGTAACTATTCTTTTGATTTCCATTTTTGTATTATACACTATTATCCTTAAATTTAATAAAATTTCTTCTTTCAAATGTTTTTCAAAATTAAATATATAGAGGAACAAAGTGCCTTTTTCCCTACTAGTATATATAGGAGGGATCAACTTACTCCAAGAGTAAGTTTATCTATATTTGCTTCACTTAATAACTCATATTTGACATTATATTTTAATAATTCAATTGAATTAAAAGTTCTTGATGCATAGATCAAGTCTGCAAACTTTTAAAAAAAATTGAAAATTATTGGATTCTTTTTTATATTAATTCAAATTGACAGATAATCAGAAAAATATTTTATACGTTAATTTAAATTAATAAAACAAAGTATCAAACAGTTTTCAAATTTTATCAAAATTTGCAAACTTCATCTATATATTAAAATTTTTTAATTTAACGGTTAGATCACTGAAATTTGATACAAAATATGAGTTATT